CTTCCGGTGTTGGTGGGGTTGGCGGAGGAGAGAGGTAGGTGATGCAAGGAGATGAGGGGTAGGAGAAGAAGTGGTTTCATGAGTGAAGGAGGGGGGGAAACATTGTGTTTATTGAGTGGAACAGAGTAGCATGTGCCATGTCATCCTCGCACGTGTCTAGTGATAATCTTTTATGCCATGTCATTTGGTTATGCCATATCAACATTCCATATGCCGTATCCATCATTCCATTGTGCCATGACATCATCCCATCTGCCGTGTGATCCTCTCTACTCCCTCAACTCCGTCTTTGCTTCCTAATCACCAACTTGCTTCGTGGACTAGGTCAGCACTTACCACAAGCTTCACTCCACCACTCCCTACCGCCACTCTCCGATCCCTCTCATAGCATCTTCTGCTGTAAGTGTTTGTTTTTTTTATATCTCATCTTCTTTCTTTCTTCTGCTCCCAACTTTCTTCCCCAACCCTTGAACTGTTTGTCCACACCTCCACCCATCATCCATCCGTTTCTTCCTGCCCACTCAACACCATCATCAGAATTTCACAACACAATGACTCCTTGTCGTATACATCCAGCTACATGCCTCCACTCCGTTCTCTCTCCCGTCCCCCTTCTCCCGGTGGACCCCCTCCTTACCCTTCAGCACCATAATTACCCAATGAGTATTGCGTCATAGTACATGTGCCATGTCTGCCGTCTCACCACGCCAAACCCCACCTACCACATCACCTTCCCTCTCACACCCCCTTCCCTTCATCGCTCCCTTGTCCTCTCCGCCCACTGCACCAACAAACCAGCTTGCAGGCTCACCGAGAATATGCACTGCATAAGCCGAAGGCATGGTAACTTGTGACACAGGAGCACCGGCACAAGGAGAAGGCATGGCATGGATGATGGCCCAGCAGCCTGTGTGGCCTGCAGTGTGTCTCATCCCAGTGCATCGACAAACCAGCTTTTGCAGACCCGCCAGAGAATACGCGTTGCACAACCAAGGCACGGCATCTCGTGACACAGGAGCACTGGCATAAGGAGAAGGCATGGCATGGATGATGCTCCAGCAGCCTGTGTGTGGGGCCTGCCTGTCAGTGTGTCAACTGCTCATGAAACAGCCGGCACAGTTGCAGCAGCTTGGCAGCTGGTGCAGCAGGCAGTGCCGCCACAGGGCTTGCAGCTCCACTCGGGCAAGATGGGGGTTCTCCTGGTGAATAGCGTCCTGTTGTACCCTTTAGTCACCCCAGCATTGCATGGTATGTGAAGGCAGAAATGCGTTCAATTCAACCATGCTTGCCGGCCTTACACGATGCAACTAGTGGTGGCCAGAGTCCTCGGCAAGAATGCTTTCACCAATGGTGATGCAGGCACACATGTGAGGACTTGTGCTGTGAAGGGAGAAATGCAATGATGGCACTTCTGGTGGCATGATTGCTTTAGCTCGGTGGATGTGTTGGCATTAGTACCTTAATCCCTTTTTGAAGCTACATGACAGCACGGAAGAAAGCAACAAGTTATCTGTACTGTGAACGCTGTATATTGTGGTCAATACACATGGACTCAAAGTGCCAAATAGTAGTGCCTATCTGCACCGCTGATGTCAAGTTCACCACTTGAAAAGAGGCAAATCCTCTACAAAATGGGGTAAACACATTGATTAGATCCACCATGCCCCGTCTCTACAGCCCAGCATTTTAACTGCACCCACGAAGGAACATCCAAACATCCCAGCATCCTTCCCCACCCTATCCCTCACTCTTTTCCTCCAAATGATCCCTTCCCCAGCAGCCTACCATCAACACATCCGCTGTCCAAGTTCGGAATCTTGTAGATTGTCTCGCTTTCTTCATCTTCAAAGCGTGGACATGCAGTGATAACGAGAGTCCTGAGGCTGGTGAGACTGCTCATAGACTCGGGCAAGCATATCATGCTAGCGCAGTTACTCAAAGTCAGTCGCTGCAGTCGTGAAAGCTTCTCAATTTCGTGAGAAGGCTCTATCAGGTCTGGAAAACCAAACAGAAGAAGTGATGTCAGATTTGAGAGATGGCAAAGGGACGCTGTGAAGGCCTCTTGATCCTCCGAACTACCCATACAGCTGGCTGGCCAACTAAACTCAAGGGACGTCAGCTTGCTCCAACGCGGGGTCTGGAATGCAGAGAGATTGACAACGCCATCGCAGTAGGTGAAGGAGAAGGTGCGGAGATTTGACAGCCTGGAAATGGTATCTGGAAGATAGGAAAGTCCTTGGAGCTGGCTCAGCTCGAGATGCTCCAGCGACGATAGACGATCCATCGCCTGTGGAAGTTGACTAAGCTGTCTGCAATTCTTAAGGACCAGCACGTGGAGGTTAGAAAGATTGCAGAAAGAATCAGATATCGTGTGGAGCCTATCGCAATTCCTAATTTTCAACGTCTTGAGAGAAACGAGGCCTGACACCGTTGCTGGAAGGGATGCAACCCTTTCACAATACACGATCTCAAGAACTCGAAGAGAAGCGAGATGGAAAAAGGAATCCGGGAGTTCTAGGCCCATATTGTCACGAAAGTAAACCTCTTGGAGGTTCGGAAGCTGGCCAATGGTATCAGGAAGAGCTCTCAAAGTGTTCATTTCACAAATGGTGAGCTTGACCAATGACTTCAGCCCACCAAGGGAGGCAGGTAGACGGCGGATCGGTCCGTCATTTCTGAACACCTTCAGCTCGGTCAGCCTGGTGAGCTGGCCGAGTGATTCTGGGAGGTGGTCAATCCACACAGTGGCGAGTGTCAGCTTGGTAAGGGAAGTTAAAGCGTCGAATCTATCAGGATAGTTGTTGAAATTGACGTTCAGATAGACTTCCGTCAGGGATGAAAGGTTGAAGAAGGATGTTGGCATCTCACAAGAGTCTTCGTACTCAGCTGTCGTGATAATAAGGGAGAGGTACTGCAACGAGGTGCACGCTGTGAAAAGGGCATCTGCACCTTCATACGTCAACCCTTCATCACAAACGGTGTGCAGGTCAAGATAAGTTAACCCGGGACAGACAGATCCTAGGTTGTGAAAAAACTCGTCATTATCTGGATCTAGAACGCACTCGTTGATCGTGAGAGAAGTCAGACGTTTGAATCGGGAAAGAGAGACCAGAAGGTTAGTGTCTACAGTAGCCCTTCTATTGGTGATGGACGTCTGTGCAAGGTAAGCGACGCGATTCCAACGTTTACAGACCAACGCGTGATTGAAGTAGCTGGGTGACTGCTTGTTCAGACAACGGAAGATGCGGCAGATGAGGTCGTCCGGCAGTTGATTGAATAATGCTTGCAACTTGAGTCTACGGGGATGCGACACCAGGGTTCGGGACGATGGATCTGTTCCAACTTGAGACATTGTTCGCACGTTGCTGCGAACTATGGTAAGCTAGAACGATTAGGAAACTAGAGCCGTTTGCACGGTCCTGAGAACTATGACTAACTAGAGCGATTGAGAAACTAGTTGCTTGTGTGGTATGGAAGAGTAATGGTGGTGAAGGCTCGATCTGGCTGGAGGGAGCTTGATTTGTGAATGCGACTCTCGGCCTCGTAGCTTGGACATGGTGGATTCTGGATCTTGGGCTTGGTGTTCTGCCATGGTTTCGCTGTCTTGTCGCTGAGGTTCGCCGCATTTCGTTGTGGAGGAACCCATGTGGCTCAGCGAGTGCACTGGACTTGTGTTACCATTTCGTTCGTTGAGTTGCATGGATGACGATGCCGACAGCTTTTCCAAGAATCAAAATCGCCCCAAGCCTTTTCGTGTACGTACCGAACGAGTCTCGGTAACACGATCGCAGGAAACATTCTTCGCCAAGGCTTCATTCCGCTTCCCTCACAAAGCTGACACTAGACCTAGATTTCACCCCAACATTTCCTACAAACAGTCCCGTTCATTTACAGAGTTGTGCTCAATATCAGGCGATGTGGATCTGCTACTTTTCCGCTCCAAGAACCTTCAACTGCGACTTTCTCAGCTCACATTCCAGTAGCTCATGGCTCCAGACGCGCCAGCTCCGATCGACGTTATCATAACGCGTCTCAGTCCAAGTGTCGTGAATCGTGATCACCCACGGATATGGTTACCATCAATCAAGTACAGAATACGCTTCCGCTTCCGTTTCCGCAGGCCACTTCCGCTTCAACTCGCCGCTACGCGTCATAGGGAGTTATTGATGCACGGACTGCTTCGTGCACAATAACGGTGAATGCTCCAATCAGCTCGAAATGCATGGTGATGAAGCAGACGAACCATCATCCGACGCGCAAGTCACCTTCTGAACATCCGCGAATCTCTTCCTCTTCCCCTAGTAACATGATGTCGACCGCCACGTTTGTAACCTCGGAACATTCTGTGGTCACAGCGCGCCTTCTATCCGTCGTTCTCTTCCCCTCGCGAAACCTACTAGTATTTTTCCCACCCATCAACGTCAGAGTTCAGATTCCGAGTTAGCTATTAGCAGTCTTCTTTCTCACAGATTTGACGTGCGTCGGCCTCGCTGGTTGCCTGTCTTCGCTCAGAGTCATTCGATGATTTTTGAAGCGCCCTCACATATTGTCTCATCAGTTTGGTATCGTCAGACTTGCCCCTCCCTCTTCTCCTTTCCCGTCCGCCCATCCAGACGACGCTTTGGCCGTCCGCGCTGCTTTGAACCCGTCCATTCGTGTGCTCGGTATTGCCACGTCATTCAACACTATGTGACGTGTGAAGCTGCCAGGTGGATTCATCGTGCCTCGTGCCTCTTGTGTTTTTTTGGACCTCTAGAATTTCCGGAAACTTCTCACTTTTGCTTGCTCTCATCCTACCCACAGCTTCATTCCCTTCCTGCATCTCTTCACAGCATTGTCCCCTATGTCCCCCCTGTTCCCCCTATTTTCCCCCTATTTTCTCCCCTCCCCTCTCCCCACCTCCACTACCCTATACCCCCCACCTCATCTCGCATCTTCCCACCCTCCTTCCCCCTTCCTCATCCCGCTTCTTCCCCTCTTCCATTTCCACTCTCTCCCAGTGCATAGCAGCAGGACGCCCAGACACGCCTGTTGTTCAGTTCAGGGCGCCACACCACCGCTCTCAACCGCATCAACAGTATGGCCACTTCTTTGTTGAACCTTCTCTCTTGCGCCTTCCCTTGTCTTCCCCTACCTACCGAATCTCTCCTTTCTTGCACCCAGCTCTCCCTCCTCCCATCGCCTACACTATCTGTCTTTCTCCCCCCATGTGCTCTCTCATTCTTCCCTCCTACCCTCCTGTGTTTCCAGCTCTGCGCTCCAAGCCTTCTTAGAGCACACCACCACCACCACCACCACCACCACCACCACCACCACCACCACCACCACCACCACCACCACCACCACCACCACCACCACCACCACCACCACCACCACCACCACCACCACCACCACCACCACCGTCCACGTTCCCTTCTTCCTCTTCCCTCACCTCCTCTCCTCCACCTGCCCGCCCATCGTGTCTCCCTATTCTTCCTCTTGTTGTCTGTTCAACAGTCAAACGCCCTCGAGACCACCGCAACCAGCAGCATCACCAGCACCAGCAGCCGTGCCCCACCAGCAACACTGTCAGCTCCTTTACCTCAACGCAGGTTTTGAAAGTGCCCCGCTAACTAGTGCACGTGGGGTACGTCAAGGAGACCCCTTAGACCCCTGTCTCTCTCTCTGACCGCATGCTCCTCGTTTCCGGGCCCAGACGGACTGGCGGGAGTGCTGCTGCTTGCACCTCCCACATCCCCATGTGCTGACCCCGCCACTAGCGTCACTGGCATCACTGATACCTAAGCTGCCACTCATAGTGCTGCTGGTAGTGGCGGAGATGGAAGTAGGGGGGACAGGGGAAGCAGGCAAGCGCTCAGGGCGGGGAAGGGAAAGGGGAGGAGCGGAGGGCGTGGGAGTGGATGTATGAGGAGGTGGCGAGGAGGCCAGGGCAGATCTGCATGGTGCAGCTGGGAGGGACCCATGACCAACCTCGCCCGGGTGAGTGCTTGCAGGAGTGCTTGACTCCTTGCCCCTTGTGTCCATGCAATTTATATCCTCCCTCCTTCACTCCACTACCTCCGTTCCCTCCCCTCCCTCGCTTCCCTCACCTCCTTTCCTTTGCTGCAGTGTCCATCCTTAGTATCCAAGGTAGCATGGCAGTGGGAATGCCGAAGTGACAACATGAGCAGACCAATCATCACTGCGAGATAAAGCGTATTATCCAAGTGGGGTAAAGCGTCAAGGGGATGGCTATACACAAATTATCCGAAGCATCTGCATGTTTGTCCCATAACGCTTTTCCCTCTCACCCATCCTTTCCCCCCTTCTTTCTTCCCCTTCCCCTTCGTCGCCGTGCTTTCCTCCAGTTGAATCTCCTTGTTTAAAACCAGGCGTGTGCAAGGAGAAGGCGGATTTCATGTGGTGGAGGCCGTGGATGGATGGATGGCACCCCGGTGGCATTCCTTCCAGCCTGGTCAGAGGGTCTTGACACACATGCTACTAAGATTCCGGATGGCATGGGATGGTATGCATTGGCTCCCATGCACGCATGCACCTCCCATGCTCGCACCTTCCTGTGTTGGTGAGGTTGGGAGACGAGAGTGCTAGGTGATGCAAGGAGGTGAGGGGTAGGTGAAGACGTGGTTTCATGACGGAAGGAGGGAGAAGAAACATTGTGTTTATTGAGTGGAGCCGAGGTAGCATGTGCCATGTCATTATCTCATATGCCATGTCATCCTCCCAAGTGTCCAGTCATCATGTTATATGCCATGTCATCATCCAGATGCCATATCATCACTCCATATGCCATGTCATCATTCCATCTAAGTCCCTCAAGTCTTTCCTTGCTTCCCAATCACCCTCAGTATCAGCTTTCTCGAACAAGGGCAGCACTCACCACATGCTTCACTCTACCACTCCCTACCTCCACTCCCTCATCCCCTCCACCCCGCCTTTTCCACTCTCTCCCAGTGCATAGCAGCAGGTTGCCTAGACACGCCTGTTGTTCAGGGCGCCACAGCACCGCTCTCAACCGCACCAACCCCAGCAGTATGACCACTTCCCTGCTGCCACTTCACTCTTGCGCGTTCCCTTACCGCCCCCTTTTTTCCACCCCCTACCAGATATCCTATTCTTACTCTCAACCCTCCTTCTGAGAATTCTCACAAGCAACTCTCTTATTTTTCCTCCCTGCGTCCCACCTACCACATATCCCTGTTCTTGCACGAGGTGCTGAGGAGGCGAGGGCAGATCAGCATGGTGCAGCTGGGACCCATGACCAACCTCGCCGCGTGCTGTGTGTGGGTGGTAGTGTAACGAGGTGAGCATTGAGTAGTTGACCAATAATAATGAGGGAGGAAAGGGTAGACCGGGCAGATCAGCATGGTGCAGCTGGGAGGTCAGATCCATGACCAACCTCGCCCAGGTGAGTGCCTGCAGAAGTTCTTGACTCCAAGCCTCTTGTTGCATGCACCCCATATCCTCCCTCCACTCCCTCCCTTCCCTCCCCTCCCTCCCTTCTCTCACCTCCCTTCCCTTGCTGTGCCACTCGTCTCATCCCCCAAACCCGCAATGGCATTGCTCTGTCAGAGTCCCTCCCTAGTGTCCGAGGTTTCTGCAGTCTGAATGACGGCAGTAGGCGGGAGCATGGCGGCTGTGGGATGGCAGTGAGAACAGGACGCATGAGGAAACAACACTGCCTGGATGAGAGAGGTAAACCGTCAAGAGCGATGGCAATACGTTTATGTTTCTGAAGCAGCTGCAAGTATGTCACGAGAAATTAACATAAATTATGCATTTTATGTGTGTCCCATAACCCTTTCCTCTCTCACCCATTCCCCCTCAAACCCTTGTCTCCGTGCTTTTCCCCCTACCGAATCTCCTTACCTATAACCAGGCATGGGCAAGGACAAGGCGAGTGTCATGAAGTGGAGGCAGTGGATGGATGAAAGGCATACGGTGGCATTCCGTCCAGCCCTGTTTCGTCAGAGGGAGATGGCACACCTGCTATGCTATTGATATTGCAATTGGCATGGCATGCTATGCTGTGTGATCACTCAACTCCATCGAGTCCTTCTTCTTTGCTTCACAATCACCCTCAGCATCAGCTTTCTTGGATCAGGGCAGATGCATCAGCATTCTTGTGCCAATTCCTTCTTGAATCAGGGCAGGACTCACCAGATGCCTCACTCAACCACTCTGTACCTCCACTGAATCATCCCTCTCATAGCATCATCTGCTGTAATTATTCTTACCGTCGCCACCTCGTCTTTCCTCCTTCTACTCCCAGCTTTCTTCCCCCACCCTTTTACTGTTTCTCCACGCCTCCACTTTATCCATCCGTTCCTCTTCTTACCCTCTCAGCGCCATAATCAGAATCAGTCATAATGAGTCCTTGTCGCATTCAGAAGTCGCAAATACTCCCTGTCGCACTTTTCCTCCTTTCCCCGTTCTCCCCATGCTCCCCCTCCTTAACCTTCAACACCAAAAGTCTGGCTTCATACCCCATGCGCCATGTCATCAGTGTTGTCTCACCTCGCTCAATTCCCACCCACCTCTCACACCCCCTTCCCTTCACCGTGAGCACCATCATTACCAATGAGTCTTGCGCCATAGTACATGTGCCATGTCTGCCATCTCACCACGCCAAACCCCACCTACCACATCACCTTCCCTCTTACACCCGTTTCCCTTCATCTCTCCCTTGCCCTCTCTGCCCACTGCCCCAATAATCCAGCTGCTGCAGGCCCACTGGAGAATGCACTGCATAAGCCCAAGGCACGGCGTGTCGTGACACAGGAGCGCTGGCACAAGGAGAAGGCACGGCATGGATGATGGTCCAGCAGCCTGTGTGGCCTGGCAGTGTGTCAGCTGCTCATGAAAACAGTTAACACAAAGCAGAAGGTGCAGCAGGCAGTGCAGCCAGGGGGCTTGCAGCTCCACGCGTGGAAGATGGGCGCCTGGTGTACTGCCAGAGGTCTCCCTCATTGAGTTGCAGATCTAGAGACAGGAATGCGAACGAGCATAAATGGCAGGCGTTGCAGTCGGGTGCAAGTGTTAGCCTGAGTCTTTAGCAGTAGCGCTCATCAATGAAAGTGCTGCCAAACTTCGCCTAAATTGTGAGCGGGTGCCGCGCAGTGATGACAGGTGTGGTCGCACAAAGTCGGTGGACGTGTTTTGACGTTGAGAATTCTTTCAAATCATTTGCAAAACAAGCAACATGGTAGTGGAGTGAACATATGCACAAACTAACATAGATCAGTGTAGAGGGGGAACCATAGCAAAGACTTGGTCCTTCCCACTACTGATATCAAGACCACCTCCTAATGGAAAAGATGACCAATCCTGTGCAAGCTTATCTAAAATCAGGTAAAATCTCTAGCATATACAAACACACGAGCACCCCAACCTATCCCATCCATTTACCCCTTTCCAACAAATGATCCATTTCCCAACAGACTACCGCCAACACATCCACTCTCCAGGTTTGGAATCTTGAGAATTGTCTCATCCTCAAAGCGTGGGCACGCAGTGATCACGAGAGTCCTGAGGCTGGTGAGACTGCTCATGGAATCGGGCAAGCACGCTAAGTTAGGCCATGAAGTTAAAGTCAGCCGCTGCAGCTTTGATAGATTCTTCATCTCGTGTGGAAGCCAAGATAGGTCGCGAAGGCCAGAAAGCAGGAGCATTGACAGATTCGAGAGATGACAAATAGACGACATGAAGGCTAGTTGATCCTCCTTGCCGGCCAGGCAGCTGGTTGGCCAACCGAACTCAAGAGCCGTGAGGCTGCTCCAATGCTGAGGCAGGGATGGAGAGATTATCTCGATGTTGTCGCAGTAGTTGAAAGAGAAGGTGCGCAGATTGGAGAGCTTGGAGATGGCATTTGGAAGGTGAGTAAGGCTTATGAGTTGGCTCAGCTCGAGATGCTCCAGCGACGACAGGCGGTCCATTCTCTGTGGAAGGTCCGTGAGCCTTGGGCAATTCTTAAAGATCAACACGCGGAGGTTAGAAAGAGTGCAGAGGGAGTCAGAAATCGAAATGAAACGACCACATCTTTTGATGATTAGCGTCTTGAGAGAAACGAGGCCTGACACTGCGCTTGGAAGGGAGTCAAAACCTTCACAAGACACGATCCCAAGAACTTGTAGAGAAGCAAGATGGAAAATGGAATCCGGCAGTGTTAGACGGAAATTGTCATGTAAGTATAACTCTTGGAGGTTCTGAAGCTGGCTGATGGAGTCCGGAAGAGTTCTCAACCCGTCCAGTTCACTAATGCTAAGCCTGACCAATGTCTCCAGATCACCAATGGAGTCAGGCAAACGGTCCAACGCTCCGGGATTTCTCAACAATTGCAGCTCGGTCAGCCTGGTGAGCTGGCCGAGGGAATTTGGAAGGTGGTCACCCCACATTGAGGCGAGAGTCAGCTTGGTCAGGGAACTTAAATGGTCGAATCTATCAGGAAAAACCTTGAAGTTGACTTTAAGATTGGCTTCCGTCAAGGATGAAAGGTCGAAAAAGGATGGTGGCATATCACAAGTGCCTTGGTAGTAAGCTGTCTTAATGTTCAAGGAGAGATACTCTAACGCGGTGCATGCTCTAAAGAGGGCATCCGCACCTTCATACGTGAACCCTTTCTGATAACCGTTGTTCAGGATCAGACGGGTCAACTTGGGGCAGGCAGATCCTAGGCCATGGAGGAACTCCTCATCTGGATCTAAGACGCACTGGTTGATCGTGAGAGAAGTCAGGCGTTTGAACCGGGAGAGGGAAGTCAGAAGGTCATAATTTGCATTGACGCAATGCGAGTTGACGATGGACGTCTGTGTAAGGTAAGCGAGGCGATTCCAACGTTTACAGACCAACGCGTGATTGAAGTAGCTGGGTGACAGCTTGTTCAGACAACGGAAAATGAGGTAGATGAGCTCGTCCGGGAAGCGACTAAACGACACGACTCTATGGCAACGCGAAGTCAGGGTTAAGGACATTGTTCGCACGTTAGAGCGAACGGGAAACTGCAGCAGACTAAGGTAGAGTAGAGCGATGGAGAAAGTAAGGCTGGATCTGGAGGAGCTTTTCTCTGATGGCGTCGGCTCAGCTCAGCGTTGAAGCAACAACTCGAGTTTTGGATCTCTTCTGTTTCACTGCCTTTGATGTCCCTGCCTCTGGACTCGCTCTCTGGTTTCCCTCCCTGGGTTTTGCTGCTGGGCTGTGCGGATGTGGTTTCGCTGCGTTCATCTTCAGGTCGAAACTGTTTGGCGGTCCAGCGACTTTACATTGAATATGTGTTACCGCTTCGCTCCCAGCGCTGGGAGTAACGACATGACAGCTTTTCTCGCTCCTCGCGAACGCAACCTTGGTTCAATTCAGCTTGCGTCCGTGCACAGCTGAGGTTGGTAACCCAGTCGATGGGAATCAGTACATCACTGACTCATAGGTTCCATTGAATATTTTGTTTCCCTCGCAACCCAACGGACACGCCCTTCAAACGGAATTGGAAGCTCAAGTTTGCTCCTTCTGGCCAAGCCTTCAGCAGCGACTCAAGCTCAATTCCCAGTACCTCCTCATGGCTCCACAAGCGTCTGCTCCGATCGATGATAACCGGGTCTTTAGGCGCAGGTTGGGTCAGTGCAGGTGTCTTGAATGGCGATCACCAGCGGATGTGGTTAACACCTATCATGTACAGCAGGGCTATTTCGCATTCGCCTTACCTCGCTGTTACATTCATAGCGAATCATTGAAGACTATAATCATCATTGGTGACCCAATCGACGGAAATTATTATTTTGTCATGAACAACTGACAGCCACATCGAACTCGACAGAAAGTCTGCTTATTTTCCGCTCCAAGCACCTTCAGCTGCGATAGTCATGTCAATGCTCAGACATGGAGTGCCTCATGGCTCCAGACGCGCCAGCTCCGATCTATGTTATCGTAAGTGCAGGGCAGGTGTTGCGAATGGTGATCACCCACGGATGTGGTTACCACCTATCAGGTGCGGCAGGACTATTCCGCTTTTCGCGGAATCATCAATGCCTCGCTGCTACTTTTTATAGCGTTCTCGTGCATTACTATGGTGGATTTTGAGACAGCTCGAATACACGGTGATGAAGGCGAAACTTCATTTATTGTCTCTCAGTCACAGGTAGCGTTTTTTTCCTTCCTGCCCTATCTTGAGCGCCCAAATCCACGACCCGAAAACGACTGAGGTGTCTCGGTTAGGGTTCCGAGTAAATTTCGGCCAACCTCGTTCCTCAACCTATCCTCTTCCCTCCCTCCTCTCCATTTCCTTTCCTCTCCGCTTCCTCTCCCTCCCTCCACTCCTCCTCTGCTCACTCTTCTCCTCCTCACCACCCTCCTCTCCGTTTACCCTTCTATCCGTTTCCCCTCCTCTCCGTTTCCCCTCCATCCGTTTCCCCTCGTATCCGTTTCCCCTCCTATCGGTTTCCCCTCCTATGCGTTTCCCCTCCTATGCGTTTCCCCTCCTATGCGTTTCCCCTCCATCCGTTTCCCCTCGTATCCGTTTCCCCTCGTATCCGTTTCCCCTCGTATCCGTTTCCCCTCCTATCCGTTTCCCCTCGTATCCGTTTCCCCTCGTATCCGTTTCCCCTCCTATCCGTTTCCCCTCGTACCGTCATCCAGACGACGCTTTGGTCATCCTCGCCGCTTGCCCGTCCATTCGTGTGCTCGGTCGGCATTGCCACGTCATTCAGCCACTATGTGACGTGTGAAGCTGCCACACGCGAAGCTCGAGGCTAGTAGGTGTGTTGACTGTACCGCTACTCTAAGGATCTACCACCCTTGGCTGGAAACTTCTAATGTGTGTTTTTATGGAACATCTGCTTTTGGAGTGTTGTGGTTTCAAATTATAAAGTGTTCGTCCGCTGATTTCCCGTTTCACTTCAACCTACATATTACCGTCAACGCGAGGTCTATGATTAAGTTTAGCTCAAAAGCTTCTCAACTTTATTTGCTCTCGTTCTGTTGTTCCTTGCATCTCGTGCACAACACCTATTCCCCCCCTGCCCCCCCTCTTTTCCGCCCCTCTTTCTTCCCCCCTTCCCCCCTACTTCCTGCCTTCCCATCTCGTTTCTTCCCTCCCCTGTTCCCTCTCTCTCCCAGTGCATAGCAAGAGGTCACCAGACACGCCCGTTCTTCAGGGCGCCACAGCACCGCTCTCAACCGCACCACTTCGAGATTGCTTCTTTCGCCATTCCAGTAGCATGCTCACTTCGACATTGCTTCTTTCACACCAGCAGCAGCAGCAGCAGCAGCAGCCCCAGCACTCTTCCTCCGCTGGCGTGCTTCTCGTTTCTGGCTGAGACGGGTTGGCAGGAGTGCAACGCGGAGCAAAGAAGGGGGCAGAGTGGAGTAGGGAGCAGAGTGGGGGGCGGGGGGTTGGATGTGCGAGGAGGTGGCGAGGAGGCCCGGGCAGACCAGCATGGTGCAGCTGGGAGGGACCCATGACCAACCTTTCCCAGGTGAGTGCTTGCAGGAGTGCTTGACTTTTTGCCCCTTGTGTCCATGCACCCCATATCCTCCCTATTCTCCTCCCCCTCCCTCATCTCACTGCCCTTGCTGTGCCGTTCGTCCCCTTCCCACACCTCGCTGACATTGTGCAGGCCCACTCCCAGTGTCCCTCACTGGTTTCCGAGGGTGCTGCCATGTGAATGGCGCCAGTGGGGACATGATGACGGCAGCATGGCAGTGCGAATCTGAAATTAAGAACACGAGCATGAAACATCAACACTTGGAGAATGAGAGAGATTAAGTGTCAAGGGGAAACGCACATGCATTTTTGCGCGGTCCATAACAGTTTCCCCTCTCACCCATTCCCCAAACCCCCCCCCCCCCCCCCCCCCCCCCTCCCCTTACCCTTGTGTCCGTGCTTTCCTCCAGCCGAACTTTCCTTGTCTCAACCAGGCATGGGCTTGAACGAGGCGAGTTTCATGAAGTGAAGACAGTGGATGGATGGCACACGGTGACATTCCTTCCAGCCCTGTCAGAGGGAGTTGCAACTGGCATGGCATGGTATGCATTGGCTTACATGCTCACATGTGTTGGTAAAGTTGGGGGAGGAGAGCGGTGGGTGAGGAAGTTGTTTTATTACTGTAGGAAGGAGGAGGACTTTGTGATGATTTTATTGGAGCTAAGTACCATGTGCCATGTCATCATCACGTATGACATGTCATCATCACGTATGCCAAGTAATATCTCATTTACCATGTCATCCTCCCATATGCGACTCTCAACACCGTCTAATGTGCTCAAGGCCAATGAGGCAGTTCTGCACCCAACCCATTTCCCCTGCCTCGAAACATGTTCTCCTGAGCTTGTGCCAGCCCATCTGTTGGTCAGTCAGCTTTGCCTCACTCACTCCCCACCCACCTCATCCGCCTTCCTGTCACACCACCTTCCCATCACCTCTGCCTTGCCCTCTCCGCCCACTGCACTGACCAACCATGGCACAGGGGCACAGATGCACTGGCGGCACAAGAAGATGCCGACACCAGGATGTATAGGTGGAAGGAGGCACGGGTAGCAGCCTGTGGGGCCTGGCAGCGTATGAGCTGCTTGGAAGGGGTCAGCACGGATGCAGCAGCATGGCAGCATGGATGCAGGTGCAGGCACTGCAGCCTGCCATAGATGCTCCAGTTCCCTTCATGCCAAATGGGGCCCTGGTGCATTGCCACAGTCATGGTACCTACTAAACATTTACGAATTGCCCAACTAGAGTCTGGAACGTGTCCAAGCATGCTTTCTAGGTGGCCTTTCAGATTTTGTTGTGAATAGCAGCCAGCCAGTGTCTCCAGCGGAAGTTCCTCCTACCAGAGAAGGAGCAGCCAAATGAGTCAGGAATGGTATACCTGGAGTTATTGTTGCACATATTCGGGTGGATTTGTTGGCATGGCAGCAGTGGTTGGTTGCTTTCGATTTCAGTGCCGTATTTGTTTTAACGCATTAACAGGTCATACCGTATTGTATGTTGAGAAATCACCAAACAATATGCCACTGTACGTCCCTTGTGACAATTACCAATACCGTGCAAGTCTAGCATATCCAAATGTCCTATGACCCTTCCCCACTCAACATATCCCCTTATTCTCAACCTTTGTCCCTCCCCTTTTGCGCAAATGATCCCTTCCCCAGCACTCGGCCATCAACACATCCGCTGTCCAGGTTTGGAATCCAGTAGATTGTCTCCCTTTCCTCATCCTCAAAGCGTGGACACGCAGTGATCACGAGAGTCCTGAGCCTGGTGAGTCTGCTCACGGACTCGGACAAGTCGATTAGCTGAGGCCAGTTACTTAAAGTCAGCCGCTGCAGCTGTTGAAGATTCCCAATCTCGTACGGAGTCATATTCAGGTCCGGAAAGCCCATCAGGACGAGAGACGTCAGATTTGATAGGTGGCAAAGCGACGACGTGAAGGCCTCTTGATGCTCGCGGCTACTCATACAGCTGGCTGGCCAACCAAACGCAAAAGACGTGAGATTGCTCCAATGCTGAGTCAGGGATGGAGGGACATTGACAACATCATCGCAGTAGGTGAAGGAGAACGTGCGGAGATTGCATAGCCGAGAAATTGCATCTGGAATGTAAGAAAGACGACTGAGCTGGCTCAATTCGAGGTGCTCCAGCGACGACAGGCGATCCATCCTCTCTGGAAGCTCCCCGAGCTGTGTGCAATTCTTAAGAACCAGCACGTGGAGGTTAGAGAGATTGCAGAAGGAATCAGAGATCGTGCGGAGGCTATCACAGTTCCTGATTATTAACGTCTTGAGAGAAACAAGGCCTGACACCGTTGCTGGGAGGGATGCAACCCTTTCACAATACACGATCTCAAGGACTTGTAAGGAGGGAAGATGGAAAAAGGAATCTGGGAGTTCTAGGGCCATGTTTTCATGTATATAAGCCTCGCGGAGGTTCGGAAGCTGGCCGATGGTGTCAGGAAGAGCTCTCAATTCGTCCATCTCACGAACGGTGAGCTTGACCAGGGACTTCAGCCCATGAAGGGAGTCAGGTAGGCGTTCGAGCGATGCGTTAATTCTGAACAACTTCAGCTCGGTCAGCCAGGTGAGCTGGCCGAGTGATTCTGGGAGCTCGTCGCTCCACAGAGTGGCGAGTGTCAGCTTTCTAAGGGACTTCAGCTTGTCGAATCTATCGGGAATTTCATCGAAATTTACCATCAGATTGACCTCCGTCAAGGATGAAAGGCCGAAGAAAGACGGTGGCAAATCACAACTTTCTTCGTAAGCTGTCTTCATGGTAAGCGAGAGGTACTGCAAAGAAGTGCAGCCCGTGAAGAGGCTATCTGCACCTTCATACGTTAAGGCTTGTCTATAACCGTTGTCCAGATCAAGATAAGTTAACCTGGGACAGACCGTCCCTAGGTCGGAAAGAAACTCATCATTGTCCGTGTCGAGAACGCACTCGTCGATCGTGAGAGAAGTCAGGTGTCTGAACCGGGAAAGCGAGTCCAGAAGGGCAGCATCTGCAGTAAGGCGAGTTCGACTGTTGGCAATGGACGTCTGTGCAAGGTAAGCGAGGCGATTCCAACGTTTACAGACCAGCGCGTGACTGAAATAGCTGGGTGATTGCTTGTTCAAACAACGGAAGATGAGGCAGATGAGCTCGCGCGGTAGCCGATTAAAAGACACGCTGAATCTATGGGGACGCGGGACGGGGGTTAGGGACGATGGATCTGTTTTAACTTGAGACATTGCGGCGAGATACGGTAAACTAAATCGGCGAAACTATAGCCGTTTCGGACGTTGCTGCGAACTAAGGTAAACTGGAGCGAATGGCTAACTAAAGCGAATGGTTAAGTAGAGCGCGCTGTGAACTAGAGGGATAATGGAGGCTGAATCTGGGTAAATCTGGCTCAGCATTAGTATGCCTAGGCTTGCAAGCACCAGTTCTGAGTATGTGGATCTGACGCCTTGGTTCCTCTGCCGTATAGGTTCCGCTCGTTCGCTTCCATGATTTCGCTGCCTATGTTTTCGCTGCCTCGATTTCGTTCTTCTCGCGGTGGGGAACGTTCGTCGAGCGAACTCACTTCCGAAAGAGGAGTCGTTGAGTTGCGAGTGTTACCTCGAATTCTGATGCCGAGATCCTTTTGCGAAATTATATCTGATCCAGGTGCACCCAGCCTCGGGTCAATGTAACACGAGCGACAGAATCAATCCTTCGTCAACTCGAAATGCGAAATCCTGGATCCAATTCGTGACACCGCACCATCAAACAAAATTACTTCTCATTTGTCTCGCTGGATTTGCTTCTTTTCCGCTCCACCTGCGGCTGTACTGTAAATGCTCGCATTTTAAGTTCCTCATGGCGCCAGCCGCGCGTGCTCCGATCGATGCAATAATTAGCGCGTCTCTAGGCAAAGGTGGGTCAGTGCATTTTCGTGGATTGATGTGGTAAATATCGATCAAGTAGCAGGCCTAATTTTCACCTCCGCTTCAACTCGCGCCTGCTCGTCATAGAGAATGTTGAATCAACGGTCCTCTTCATGCACAATAACGGTGTATAGCGCAATAGCGGTGTATAGCGCAATAACGGTGTATATCATGTCACCTCGAAATAAACGACGATAAAAATGAAACGTTCAATCAGAGGTTGCGAAGCTCCCGTTCATGCCTTATGTAGAGTGCCAAATCTGCCCTTTGAGAGGTTCTTTCGTCGCAGCGAGTCTTCTTCCCCCGTCTTCCCCTCTTCTTTCGCTGATCGGTAGGCTTATTGTCATCCTCCAAGGAGTTTATCATCTTGTTGATTTTCTCACCTTCATTTGCCATCCTGTCCTCATCCCTCACTCCTCTCCGTTTCCCCTCCCTTCCTCCTCGCCAGTTCTTCTCCCTCCCTCCTCTCCGCTTCCCCTCCCTCCTCTCCTCCTCCCGTCCCTCCTCTCCGTTTCCTCTCCCCACCGCTATCCAGACGACAGCGTTGAAGTGCCCATCCATTCGTGCGCTCGGTATTGCCACATCATTCGGCCACTATGTCACTTGTGCACTATGCCATTTGTGAAGCTGCCACACGCAACGATCGGAGGCCTAGTGGGTGCCTCCTCTTCTATAAGGATCCTCACTCTTTGCTGAAAGATTCTCATGTGTTTGTTTGTGGAACATCTGTGGTTTAGGTATCTGTAGCCCCTTCATTTCAATGACGTGGTGCTTTTTTATTCACCAGCGCTTCTCCCCCTTCCCTCGTTCCCTCTCTTCCAGTGCATAGCAACAGGTCGCCCAGACACGTCTGTTGTTCTGTTGCCTCTTCACTCTTGCGCCTTCCTTTTCCCCCCCACTTCCCTACCAAATCTCCATGCCCCTGCAACCATGCCTTTCGTTTAGGATTCTTAAAGTTACTTTCTTGCTCCTTTCCTTTCCTTGAACTTGTACCAAATCCTCCTTTGTTCCAACACATGTGCTGCCGCTTCCTTTCAAGGCACTCCCAGCGCTCCCTCTCTGCCGGCGTGCTCCTCCTTTCTGGGCGCAGACGGGCTAGCAGGAGCGCTGCTGTGCTGCCTGCACTACCCGCAAACCCACGTGCTGAACCCGCCACTGGCGGCACTGGCACCCTGGCTTCCACTCATATCGCTGCTGCTAGTGGCGGGGATGGAAGCGGGAGGAGTGGGGTGGGGGGGGGGGGGGTGGGGGTAGCAGTCAATTGGGTGGAACAGCAGAGAAGGGGGCGAAGCGGAGGGCGTGAGAGTGGATGTGTGAGGAGGTGGTGAAGAGACCCAGGTAGACCAGCATCGTTCGGTTCAGACCCATGACCAACCTCGCCCGGCAAGTGCGTGCAGAAGTGCTTGACCCTTGTTTCCATGCACCCCATACCCTCCCTCCCCATCCCTCCCCTTACTCACCTCCTTCCCCTCTCTTCCCTCCCTCCCCTCCCTCCCCTCCCTCACTTCCCTCCTCTCCCTCCCCTTCCTCCCCTCCCTCCCCCCTCCCTCACCCCTCTTCCTCCCCCCCTCCCTTCCCTCATCTCCCTGGCCTTGCTGTGCCGCTTGTCCCCCAAAGCAACCTGTGATTGCTCTGCTAATGTCCCTCTCTCGTGTCTGACGTGGCTGCCATCTGATTCGGATGGCGCCAGTGTGTGGGAGCATGATAACGGTAGCATGGCAGTATAAATGCGGAAGGGAAAACATGAGCATGAGGAAACAACACGTCGACGATGAGAGAGGTATAGTGTCAGGGAGACGGCAATACAGTTTTATCCGAAGCAACTGCATGTTTGTCAGGAGAAACAAGCATAGACGATGCATTTGTGTGGGTTCCATATCTCTTTTCCCTCTCATCCACCCCTCCCTCCCTTCCTCCTCCCAACCCAACACTTTTCTGTGCTTTCTTCCAGCCTCCTGACAAACATGCAGTTGCCCATGTCTACTACCAACCAGACATGGGCAAGGGCAAGGCGAGTGTCATGGAGTGGAGGCAGTGGATGGATGGATGGCACACGGTGGCATTCCTTCCAGCCCTATCAGATGGAGATGGCACACCTGCTACGGAGATTCCAACTGGCATGGCTATGCATCGGCTCACATGTTCGCACCTCCCATGCTCGCACCTCCCATGCTCGCACCTCCCATGCTCGCACCTCCCATGCTCGCACCTCCCATGTTCGCACCTCCCATGCTCGCACCTCCCAGGTCGTCGAATTTATCAGGAAGATGGTATAAATTTACCATCAGATTGTCCTCCGTCAGGGATGAAAGGTTGAAAAAGGATGGAGGCATTTCAAACGTGTCTCCATAGTCAGCTCCCATAATCTTAAGGGAGAGGTACTGTAACGCGGTGCATGTTGTGAAGAGGGCACCTCACATGTTTGCACCTCACATGTTCGCACCTCACATGTTCGCACCTCACATGTTCGCACCTCACATGTTCGCACCTCCCATGTTCGCACCTCCCATGTTCGCACCTCACATGTTCGCACCTCCCATGCTCGCACCTCCCATGCTCGCACCTCCCATGCTCGCACCTCCCATGTTCGCACCTCCCATGTTCGCACCTCCCATGCTCGCACCTCCCAGGTCGTCGAATTTATCAGGAAGATGGTATAAATTTACCATCAGAATGACCTCCGTCAGGGATGAAAGGTTGAAAAAGGATGGAGGCATTTCAAACGTGTCTCCATAGTCAGCTCCCATAATCTTAAGGGAGAGGTACTGTAACGCGGTGCATGTTGTGAAGAGGGCACCTCACATGTTCGCACCTCACATGTTCGCACCTCACATGTTCGCACCTCATATGTTCGCACCTCACATGTTCGCACCTCACATGTTCGCACCTCCCATGTTCGCACCTCCCATGTTCGCACCTTCCATGCTCGCTCCCATGCTCGCACCTTCCCATGTTGGTGAGGTTGACGGAGGAGAGAGGTAGGTGATGCAAGGAGGTGAGGGGTGGGTGAAGAATTGGTTGCATGACTGAAGGAGGGAGAAGAGCTTTTTGTTTAATGAGTGGAGGGGGGTAGCATGTGCCATGTCATTATCCCACATGCCATGTCATCATCCGATATGCCATGTCATCATCCCATATGCCATGTCATCATCCCATATGCCATGTCATCATCTCATATGCCATGTCATAACTCCATACGCCATCATCCTAGTCGCCATGTCATCATCCCATCTGCTGCTGAATTGGCTCAACAGTCTGAGCAGAATGGACTTGCCTCCCAACACAGTCTAATGTACTCAAGGCCAATAGGCCAATAGGCAGTTCTGCATCGGAGCCATATCCCCTGCCTCTTAACATTTCCTCCTGAGCTTGTGCCAGCCCATCTGTTAGCCGGTCAGCTTTCCCTCACTCACTCCCCACTCCACCTCATCCGCCTCCCTGTCATACCCCCTTCCTGTCGCACCCCCTTCCCTTGCCCTTGCCTTCACCTCTCCGCCCACTGCTCTGACCAGCCATTGCACGTGGTCACAGGTGCACTGGTGGCACAATACAAGCCGCGCCATTGGGTGATACAAGGCGAAGGCGAGGCACGGGCAGCAGCCTGTGGGGCCTTGCATGCCTGCCACGCCACCCTGTGGCACATGGAACCCCTGGTAGACAGCCGCTGTTGTGGTACCATTTATTCACTCATAAATTGCCGAATCAGAGTTGAAAATTCGTTCAAACCTGCTTGCCAGGTGGCCTTGGCACATTGCGAATACCGCAGTCAGTGTCCCCAGCAGAAGTGCTCTCTGTGCCTGCCAGAGAAGGTGCAACCAAACGCGCGAGGAGTGCCAGACCTGAAAGGAGGTGTAGTGGTGGTACTGGCTCTTGCTGCACTGTCTTGGTACCGTAGCTGTGTTGGCATGGCACAGTTGCTTGCATTTTTCAGATTTCAGAATTCCATCAAACACAGCAGCACCACAACAACATTCATAAAGTAATGACAAGAAACATTACAATGGCGTCCACCCATCCTAAACACTGATGTAGTTTACCACTGAATATCACATGAAGGTAAAGTATCTACCATCGTTCTGCAAGCTTTTAAATCATTGGATTGGAAGATTTTCTAGCATATCTAGGCGTCCAAGCACCATAGCCCACCCCAACAACTCATCCCTTCCGCCCAAATGATCCCTTCCCCAGCACTCGACCATCAACACATCCGCTCTCCAGGTTTGGAATATAATTGATTACCTCCCTTTCTTCATCCTCATAGCACGGGCACGCAGTGATCACGAGCGTCCTGAGGCTGGTGAGACAGCTCACCGACTCGAACAAGCTATGGAGGCTAGGGCAGTTACTCAAAGTCCGCCGCTGCAGCCGTTCAAGTTTCCCAAGCTCGTACGGAGTCTCAATCAGGTCTGGAAAGCCCATCAGGACGAGCGATGTCAGATTTGAGAGATGGCAAAACGACGACGTGAGGGCCTCTTGATCCTCGCGGCTACCCATACAACTGGCAGGCCAACCAAACGCAAGCGATGTGAGGCTGCTCCAATGCTGGGTGAGGGATAGAGGGACATTGTCAACACCATCGCAGTAGGTGAAGGAGAATGTGCGCAGATTGGAGAGCTTGGAGATGCTGTCTGGAAGGTGAGAGATACATTTCAGCTGGCTCAGCTCGAGATGCTCCAGCGACAAAAGGCGATCCATCCTCTGTGGAAGTTCCCTCAGCTGTGAGCAATTCTTAAGAACCAACACGTGGAGGTTAGAAAGAGTGCAGAAGGAATCAGAAATCGTGTGGAGGCTATCGCAATTCCTGATAATTAACGTCCTGAGAGAAACGAGGCCCGACACCGTTGTCGGAAGGGATGCAACCCTTCGACAATACACGAGCTCAAGAACTTGTAAAGAGGGAAGTTGGAAAAAGGAATCCGGGAGTTCCAGGAACATGTTTTCATGTAAATAAACCTCTCGGAGTTTCGGAAGCTGACCGATGGTGTCGGGAAGAGCTTTTAAATTGTCCATTTCACGAATGCTGAGCTTGACCAATGACTTCAGCCCACCAAGGGAGGCAGGTAGGCGGTCGAGCGTTTCATTTCTGAACACGTTCAGCTCGGTCAGACAGGAGACGTGACCGAGTGAATCCGGAAGGTCGTCGCTCCATACAGTAGTGAGTGTCAGCTTTGTCAGGGACTTCAGCTCCTCGAATCTAGCGGGGAATTGATCGAAATTTACCATCAGATTGACCTCCGTCAAGGATGAAAGGTCGAAGAAAGACGGTGGCAAATCACAACTGTCTTTGTAGGCTGTCTTCATGGTAAGCGAGAGGTACTGCAACGCAGTGCAGCCTGTGAAGAGGCTATCTGCACCTTCATACGTCAAGGCTTCTTGATAACCGTTGTCCAGGTCAAGGTAAGTTAACATGGGACAGACCGATCCTAGATCGCAGAGGAATTTGTCATTGTCCTTGTCGAGAACGCACTCGTTGATCGTGAGAGAAGTCAGGTGCCTGAACCGGGAAAGGGATTCCAAAAGAGCAGTATCTGCAGTAAGGAGAGGCCTGCTGTTGGCGATGGATGTCTGTGTACGGTACGCGAGGCGATTCCATCGTTTACAGACCAAAGCGTGATTGAAGTAGCTGGGTGACTGCTTGTTCAAACAACGGAAAATGAGGCAGATGAGGTCGCGCGGTAACTGATTTAACGACGTTCGCAACTTGATTCTACGAGGACGTGGCACCAGGGTTCGGGACGATGTGTTTCTAACTTGAGACATTGTTCGCACCTTGCAGAGAGCTACGGTAAGACTAAAGAAATAGAGAATCTAGAACAGATTGCACGTTGCTGCTAGCTATGATAAACTCGAGGGAAACTCGAGCCAAGTACAACGCGGTGAAGGCTGGACATGGAAGGAGCTGGCTTGCTCGTTGGTGACCGTTGGTGAAGATGACCGTTTGGCTCTCGCTAGTGGGTACCTCGCAGCTCGGAACAAGCCTGTGGAGTTGTGGATATCTCTTGTTGTGATGTGGCCGGTTGTGTTGGGGTGGGGTGAATTCTGCTTGGTTGGTTTTGTTGCGTTGGTTTCGCTGTGCTGAAGTTGTTGCATTTCGCTGCCGTGGTTTCGCGAGCTTTCACTGTCTTGGTTTTGCTGCTTGCCGTGCCATATTTCCTTTATGCGAGTTGACGACGATGCCAATAGCTCGTCGCAAAAGCCAAATCAGTCCTGGAACAGTTACACGTGGCTGTTCGTCACGTCGAATTTTCGCTCATCGCCATGAACTTCGTTGGCTGAATTGAAAATCTTGGACTTCACGGCCTCCTGTGAGGCTGTCACATTCCCAGCCACACTTTTCATTCCCTCACATTCAGAGTAGCACCTTCGGCTACGATCACCACTGCCAAACAATAAAATACCTGATGGCGCCAGATGCGCCTGCTCCAATCGATGTTATTATTAATGCGTCTCCAGGCATAGGTGGGTCAGTGCAGTGTCGGAAATCGCCGTCCACCGATGCGGTTACCAATATAGCACAGAAGGCCTTTTTCTTCGGCGCAGCTTGACGCTAATCGTAGAGAATAACTCAAGCCACCTCAGAGGCTTCCGTGGTCTCACGAGACTTCGCCTTTCCGTCTGTCCCTCTCCAGTTTCTGGCGCCTCCGTGTGGCTTTTTGCTCCACGCCTCCTTTCCTCACTCATCCCTTCTTCCGCTCCCTCCTCTCCTCTTCCCTCCCCTCCGCCATGCAGACGACGCTTTGGCCATCCTCGTAGCTTTGATATGCCCGTCCACTCGTGTGCTCGGTATTGCCACGTCATTCAGCCACTATGTGGCGTGTGAAGCTGCCACACGCAACGCTCGAGGCCTGGTGGGGTCACTATCCCTCCTCTTCAATAAGAATTCTCATACATGTTAAAAGCTTTTAATGAGTTTGTTAGTGAAACATCTGGGGTACAGAGACTTTGTCCAATAATCTTCTCAGTACTTGCTCTTATCCTCCCCACTTACCTTACTGCGTCTCTCCACTACACTGCCCCCTATCTCCCCCCTGTCCCCCCTCTTTTTTCCCCCTTTTACCACTGCTATCCCCCCCCTCCTCCCTTCCCTTTTTCCCCCCTCCCCTTTCCCGCCCCCCCCCCCCAGTGCATAGCAGCAGGTCGACCAGACATGCCTGTTGTTCAGGGCGCCACAGCACCGCTCTCGACCGTACCAAACCCAACAGTATGCCCACTTCTCCATTGCCGCTTCTCTCTTGCGCCTTCCCTTTCCTACCCCCACCTATAAACTATTCCCTTTCGCGCACCCAACGTTCCTTTTCCCCCATTACCTGCGGTGCCGATCTTTTCCTTCCAGGGCATCCGCTCTGTGCTTGTAGACTCCTCCCTCCTGCCGTCTCCTCCCTCCTGCCGTCTCCTCCCTCCTGCCGTCTCCTCCCTCCTGCCGTCTCCTCCCTCCTGCCGTCTCCTCCCTCCTGCCGTCTCCTCCCTCCTGCCGTCTCCTCCCTCCTGCCGTCTCCTCCCTCCTGCCGTCTCCTCCCTCCTGCCGTCTCCTCCCTCCTGCCGTCTCCTCCCTCCTGCCGTCTCCTCCCTCCTGCCGTCTCCTCCCTCCTGCCGTCTCCTCCCTCCTGCCGTCTCCTCCCTCCTGCCGTCTCCTCCCTCCTGCCGTCTCCTCCCTCCTGCCGTCTCCTCCTTCCTGCCGTCTCCTCCCTCCTGCCGTCTCCTGGTTCTTCCTCCACCATATCCCCCCTTTCTTCCTTCCGTTTTCTCTTTGACAGGCAAACGCCCCTGAAACCACCGCAAGCAGCAGCAGCAGCACCAAGAGCACCCACAGCGCTCCCTCTCTGCCCGCGTGCTCCTCGTTTCTGGGCCCTGACGGGCTGGCAGGAGTGCTGCTGCCTTCCGCAAATCCCGCACTCCAACGGGATGATCCCGCAAATGGCATCACTGATACCTTGGCTTCCACTCATGTTGCCACTGCTGCTACTGGCGCGGATGGAGAGGGGAGGGACGGGGGAGAGCAGGGGGCGGAGCGGAGGGCGTGGGAGTGGATGTGTGAGGAGGTGGCGAGGAGGCCCGGGCAGATCAGCATGGTGCAGCTGGGACCCATGACCAACCTCGCTCGGGTGAGTGTGCCTTTTGCCGTTGTAACGAGTTAACCTTCGTGTGGACTCAAAAGAGGTGGCGAGGAGGCCCGGGCAGATCAGCATGGTGCAGCTGGGACCCATGACCAACCTCGCTCGGGTGAGTGTGCCTTTTGCCGTTGTAACGAGTTAACCTTCGTGTGGACTCAAAAGAGGTGGCGAGGAGGCCCGGGCAGATCAGCATGGTGCAGCTGGGACCCATGACCAACCTCGCCCAGGCAAGTGTGCCGTGTGTCTTTTGCCGTTGTAACGAGGTGATGTTTGACTTTACTAAAAAGATGGTGGGCAGGACAGGTAGACCACCCAGGCAGCAGCAGTACCAAATGCCTGGTCTCTCACCTCCTCCTCTCTCGTTTTGTGCTCTACTCTCTCCTACCACAAGCGGTTGCTTCCACCAGGCCCTTGCTTTACGCCCCTCGCTAACATCCGAGGTGGCGGCCATCTGGGTGGTGGGAGGCTCCTTCTTCGCCCACTTGCACCACCCACTGCCGACCCTCCCTTCCCTCCCTTTCCTCCCCCCCCTCCCCCTCTTCCTCTCCCCTCCCCAGCTTCCTCCCCGCTCCCCCACTTCCTCACCCGTGCCCCCTTTCCTCCCACCAGGCCCTTGCTCTCCGTCCCTCCTTGGCATCTGACGTGGCGGCTATCTGGGTGGTGGGGGATTCCTTTTTGCCAGTGATGATTGCAGCTGCTGGTTGTTCCGGCCCCCTCTCGCTCTTTCTTTGACTTGTCAACCCCACTAGGCCCTCTCCCACCGTCCCTCGCTAGCATCGGAGCTGGCGGCCATCTGGGTGGTGGGGGGTTCCTTCTTAGCCCACTTGCACCACTTAGTCCTGACCCCCCCCTCCCCCCTCCCCCCTTGCTCCCACCAGGCCTTCTCCCACTGCCACTCGCTAGCATCGGAGCTGGCGGCCATCTGGGTGGTGGGGGGTTCTTTCTTCGCCAGTGCCGGCACCAACTGCTAAAGCTTCACGTCTCTCCCCTTCCTTGCGATTTGTTCACATTGAACCCGTGCCCACACTAGGCCCTTGCTGTCCGTCCCTCGCTAGCATCAGAGCTGGCGGGCATCTGGGTGGTGGGAGGCTCCTTCTTCGCCAGTGGGGATGTCAACGCCGCTGCAGCCCCACTGCTCTCTGAACATCTATTTCGTATCACACCGCTGACCTGAATACGTGCTCCCACCAGGCGCTTGCTCTTCGTCCCTCGCTAGCATCCGAGCTGGCGGCTATTTGGGTGGTGGGGGGCTCATTCTTTGCCAGTGGGGATGTCAACGCCGCTGCAGAAGAGAGCGTGAGTGCTGGGGCCGAACTTGAAGGCAAGAACGGGGAGGGGAAGGGCACTGGTTTGACTCCATACTGTTCTGTTGCGAGATAGAATGTGGGGTTGGGTTGGGAAGTAAGTGTGGAGTGAGGTAGCAAAGATGGGCAGTCAAGGGAAACGTTTGTGTGTGAGTGACTTTTGAGGCGCCTCTTAGAAACGCTTGTGGAAGTGAAGGAAGTGTGGAGTGACAGCCTGGATTCCGACTTGTTCATATCCAAACACTTTGTCTTATACCAACTATGCCTCTCTTTATATCTTCTCTGGCCTGACCTCCCCGGGGCATGGCAGGTGTTCTCAGACAGAACCGAGGCAACATGTGGGGCGAGGCGAGGACCAGGTGCTGACAAGTGGCGCCGCCAACATTTCTTAGTGCTGAGGCGACTCAGCCCTCAACGATGCTTCCACTCCTCTCTGCCCCTCTCCGCCCCTCTCCGCCCCTCTCCGCCCCTCTCCGCCCCTCTCCGCCCCTCTCCGCCCCTCTCCACCCCTCTCCGCCCCTCTCCGCCCCTCTCCGCCCCTCTCTGCCCCTCTCCGCCCCTCTCTGCCCCCCTCACCCATCCTGTCCCCCCCAGCACGGTAGGTTTTTGCAGATCCCGAGGCAGAAGATCAGGTGCTGACAAGTGGCGACACCATTCCCCTCTCTCCAACCCTCGACCCTGCCTCCATTCCTCTCCGCCCCTCCCCGCCCCTCTCCGCCCCTCGCCGCCCCTCCACCCTTCTCTGCCCCCTCTGCCCCTCTCGGCACGGCAGGTGTTTGCAGACCCCCAGGCCGCGGATCAGGTGCTGACGAGTGGCGCCAACACCCCCTTGTCTTCAGAATCGACACTTCCTCCACTCCTCTCTGCCCCTCTCCACCCCTCCCCACCCCTCCTCCACTCCCCTCTGCTCCTCTCCATGGCAGGTGTTTGCAGATCCTGAGGCAGCGGATCAGGTGCTGACGAGTGACGACAAGTGGCGCCAACATTTCCTTCGCCTCTCCTCCCTTATCTGCCCCCTGTTGCCCTCCTCTACCCCCCTCTCCATGGCAGGTGTTTGCAGACCCCGAAGCAGTGGATCAGGTGCTGACAAGTGGAGCTGGGCCAGCATCCCTTTGTCTCCACCTCTCGACCCTGCCTCCACCCCTCTCATCCACTCACTGCTCCCTTCTTCCCCCTCTGCTTCCCTCTCCTTCTGCTCCTCCTCTCCATGGCAGGTGTTTGCAGACCCTGAGGCAGCGGATTAGGTGCTGACGAGTGGCGCCAACATCCCCTTCTCTCCACCACCCTGCCTCCACCCCTCTCCACCCTTCTCCACCCGTCTGTGCCCCCTCTGCGTCTCTCCACGGCAGGTGTTTCCAGACCCCTTGGCAGCGGACCAGGTGCTGACGAGTGGTGCCAACATTCACGTGCTGGGACTCAACGTCACCACACAAGTCAAACTCACAGGTCAGCTGTGCATGCTCTTAGACTAGTTATTGATCGGACCAGTTAGGGCCTAGGGCGATGTGTTAAGGACCAGCAGACCAGGTGCTGACGAGTGGTGCCAGCATCCACGTGATGGGACTCAACGTCACCACACAGGTCACACTCACAGGTGTGTTGCGAGTGATTTATTAGAACCTGCACGCTCCACACACACTGCATATGTGCTCATGCTATCATATGTGTTGTTCCTTTGTAGCAACAGTTATGGGCTAGGGGGCTAGGGTGTCATGCTAGGGCCAACAGATCAAATAACATCCACAAGCTGGGGCTTAACGTTTGCCACTTGCACTGCATTGCACTGAAATTCGCCTAAAACATTGCCTAAAGAAATCACCTAAGAAATGGCAAAAAAATAAGGCTAAAAGATCGCCATAAAAGCCGCCTCAAACAGCGCCTTACTTACGGGCCCGTAACAGCAGCAGCAGCTCAAACAGCAGCTCTCGTATTCCCTTTTCGTCATCTCCATGCCTCCCTCCCATCCCCTCTCCCCCCCCCCTTCTGCAATTTCATCGACACCACACCTCCTTGCCCTCTCACCGCTCATGCCCCACCAGACGAGAACGAGAACGAGTCAAGGCCAGCAGGCCGTGCCTCTCATTGTGAAGGCTGTCCAGCAGCAGGCGAGAACATCTTCCCACCGGCACGGCACTGCGTCCTCACCAGCAGCAGCATCTCACATCTCCCCTTCCATCGATGCCATGGTCTCGCCCTCTGCCTGCCCCTTCTGCCCGCCACGTGCAGACCTTGCCTCCCTGTGCACTCAAGGCACGTCAGCGTCGCCAGTAGCAGGCGAGAATGAGAGCGAGCATGCAGCTTCGCCCTCACCAGCAGCGTCTCTGGTGGCACGCCTGGTGAATGCATACAGGGACCACCACCAGCAGTCCGACCACATGGACGGTGCGTGCGGTGTGGTGGGGTGTGGTGGGGTGTGGTGGGATGTGGGGTGTGGTGAAATTGGGTGGGGTGCGGCGTGCACTTTGCATTGCTTTAGCTTCACTCCGTTCCATCCTCTCTTTCCTACATCTGGCCATTGCTCTTCCTTTCGTGTTCTCGCTCACCTCCTCGCTCATGCCTCTTTGATTTGATCCTGCCCCGACCATTTCCCTCCTCCCCACATCACGGCTTCCAGGAGTCTTCCTGCACGACGCGTGTGCAGTGGCAGCGATCATAGCGCCCTCCCTCTTCACCTTCAAGCGAGGCAGCGTGCGTGTGGAGTGCACCGGGGTGGGGAGAGGATGCACGCTCATGGACTACTCGTTGAAAAAGTAAGTGAAATGTGCTCTTAGTATTGGCACAATCATAGTCCCCTCCCTCTTCTCCTTCAAGCGTGGCAGCGTGCGTGTGGAGTTCACCGGGGTGGGCAAGGGATGCACTCTCATGGACTACTCGCTCAAGAAGTGAGTGACTCTTTCTTTGAGGTGCACGTTCAGTAGTGTACGAGTGTTAGAACTTAGGCTTAGAAGCGATCCATTAGTAATGAGCTTGAAGCTCTTTAAGTACATCCAAGAAGGGTAGGGAATGGATGGGGAAGGGAATCGGGGGCAATCCCTAGGGATTGGGGGTAATCCCAAGGCAATCTCCAATTGGTGGGTTGGAGATTGCTTGGAGATTACATTTGGGTTTGGTTGGGATGTAGGTGTACACCCAACCAAACACAATGTGCAAACTACACTACTCTAGGATATAGAAAATACAAAGTACAAAGTGTGAGATTGAAGGCTAACACTAACACCCCCCCATAGACGTCAATCGAACTCAGGGCAGAGAGGGTGGAGCACCGAACCCCATGGCGCCAAGGAGACGGTGGTGGGGAACTTTCCCAAGGGGCTTGGTGAACAGATCAGCCAGGTTGCAGTCAGATGCAACGTACTCCACTTTCAACTGCTCCTGCTGGACAAGGTCACGGATGAAGAAGTGCCGGAGTTCAATATGCTTGGTGCGGGTGTGGTACACAGGGTCTTGAGAGATGTGGATGGTACTCTGGTTGTCACACCAGAGGGTGGGGGCGGACTGTGGGAAACCAAGCTCCTGGAGCAGGAAGGTGAGCCAACGGGCTTCCTGAGCAGCCATGGTGCCTGCGTAGAGCTCTGCCTCACAGGAGGAGAGGGAGACTGCAGACGACCTGGTGGAGCGCCAACTGACAATTCCGCTCCCAAGGGTGAAGCAGTACCCCTGAGAGGAGCGTCGGTCGGTCTGGTCATCAGCCCAGGAGGAATCGGTGTAACCTTCCAGGTGAGGAGGGGAGAGCCCACCGAGTGTGAGAACGTGAGACTTGGTGCCCTGAAGATAGCGCAGCACCCGCTTCGCCGCCTTCCAGTGAAGATCAGTGAAGCGTCCAGGGGCCACGTAGCGAGAGAGGACACTGACAGGGTAGGCCAAGTCCGGTCGGGTGCACATCATGGCGTACATGAGGGACCCAACAAGCTCCGGGTACGGCTCAGAGCAGGCCTCTGGTGTGGGTACAGCTGGAGCTGTGAGGAGGTGTTGCAGCGGCAGCGGGGTGGCAACAGGGGTGCACAGCTCCATCTCAAACCGCTTGAGCACATTGTCGATGTAGAACTCCTGGGAGAGTGAAATGGTGCGAGCCTGGCGATCACGAGTGATCTCCATCCCCAGGTAGTGCTTGAGGTCACCGAGGTCTTTCATCTGGAGGGCCTTGCTCAGGGCTGCCTGGACAGAGGTCATCTGGGCCGAGTCCTTGGCAACGAGGATGAAATCATCCACGTAGACCAGGATGTAGAATGGCTCAGAATGACGGCGGATGAAGAGAGTCGGGTCAGCAGTTGAAGGGTGGAAGTCCAGGGAGAGGAGGACTTCTTTCACCTTGTTGTGCCATTCGCGAGGGGCTTGCTTAAGGCCGTAGACGGGGCGATTCAGCTTCCAGACAGTGTTGGGAGGGAATTCTCCTGGGAAACCTTCTGGTCTGTCCATGAACACTGTCTCCTTGAGACGTCCTTGTAGGAAGGCGGATGAGGCATCCATGGATTTGATCTCAAAGTCTTCTCGAGCTGCGACATCCATGAGCGTACGAATGGTGGGAGGTTTGGATGTGGGGGAGAAGGTTAGGAAGAAGTCGCGGTACTGCTGCTGGGTGAAGCCCTTGGCTACGTAACGCGCTTTGAACACCGGGGCCTCGTCTGGGAGCTGTTTTACACGGAACAACCACTTGCCCCCGACGATGTTGACTCCTGGAGGTGGAGTCTCGTCGTCGAAGGAGTGGTTGCGGGTGAATGCTGCAATCTCCGCTTCCATGGCAGCATGCCATTCGGCAGCATGAGGGCCTGAGAGAGCCTCTTGGACGGTGAGAGGGATAGGGATGGTCGGGTTCTCCGCGAAGTTGAGGGAGGGTGAGTCAGTGATGTCGGGGAAAATGTGCGAGAGCTGAGGAATGACTGCATGAAGATCACACAGCTCCTCATGCCTGTCTTCCAGGAGGGTAGAGGGCACATCCCCCCCAGCAGGAGGAGGCGGTGTGATCGCCGTGTACCGAAGAACCAGCGCTAGTGGAAGAGCAGCGCCATGCGAACGAGTACCATGAGCCACCGGAGAAGAGGGTGGGGCAGGCGGAGTCGAGGGGGTGGACTTAGGAGGCTTGGGCGGGGGAATGGGCCGCCGGTGGTACGTGATCAGCTCGGGCGACTGTGGGAGAGCGGGTTCCTCTGTGGTGGGGGGAACCGGGGGAGGAGGTGGGGCCGGAGGGTGGGACCGCCGATGGTAGGTGATAGGTGCGCTCGGAGGTGGCTGCACAGTCGGCGGAGTGGGAAGTGAGGGGGATGGAGGAGCAGCTGCCGAGGACACCGGTGAGGGCGGGTCAGAGACCTCAGAGGGGGACGGTGCGGTGTGAGGAGGGGTAGGAGGTGAAGGGGCCGGAGTAGGCGGGAGGTCAGGAGGCGCATCAAAGTCTGCCCACACGAGGGAGGGTGGATCAGGGAGAGGGTCCCGTCCCGAAGTGGAGTAGAATGGGCGGGTCTCATCAAAGACAACGTCGCGGCTCCGGACCAATTGTTGAGTGGAGGTATTGAGGAAGAGGTAGTCAGGCGAGTCGGCGTTGTGCCCGAGGTAGATGCACGTCTGGGTCTTGGGACCGAGCTTGCCGCCGTGCTGCCGTCGAGCCTGAGGGTTGAGGAGGACATAGGCGGTGCACCCCCAAACGCGAAGAGAGCGAGCAGTGGGCGTTTTCCCGAGCCAGAGTGTGGTTGGAGTGGTGTCGGGAAGATGCGGGTGGGGGTAAAGGTTGTAGAGGAGGGCGGCGTGGTAGAGAGCGTACCCCCAGAGAGAGTGCGGAGCGTTGGAGTGGCTGAGGAGGCACCGAGTGATCTGCACCAGGGTGTGGTTGCGGCTCTCAGCTATGCCGTTCTGCTGCGGGCTGTCAGGGAGGGTGAAGTTTTGCTTGATGCCTTCTGAGGAGCAGAAGGCTTTGAGCTTGTCGTTGCAAAACTCACCACCACCATCTGAGTGGAGGCGCTTGACTTTGCGGTCAAAGGCGGTCTGTGCCTGTTTAACCCACGCCATGAGGACCTCTGGAACCGCAGCCTTAGTGTGGAGGAGGTGAACAGAGACGTAGCGAGAGTGGTCATCGACGATAACAAGGAAGTAGCGATAACCACCTCGTGCGGGAACAGGGGCAGGGCCCCAGACGTCCAGGTGTACCAGGTCCAGTGGTCCTGCTGCGACAGAGGGTGAGGCCGGGTGGGGCTGTTGACGCAGTTTGCTCTTGGTGCAGTCAAGGCACGTGGGAGCGGGGGAGTCTGGTGGTGGAGGAAGTGAGGCTGGCAGGCCGAGTAAAAGTTTCTTGGAGGCCATGTCAGCAAGTGTGCGGAAGTTTGGGTGCCCGAGCCGATGGTGGTAGAGTATGGTCGGGTTGGAGAAACTGCGGCACGAGCATGGTGAGGTAGTCGCCGCTGCCTGGGTGGTTGACACCTGTGGGATGGGTACTTGCAGCGTGTAAAGGCCGCTGCTGTTGAGGGTGAAACGAGTCAAGACCTTGTTGGTGAGTGGGTCGAGGATGTCACCATAGTTCTCGTTCTCCCAGAAGATGGTGCATAGCCCAGCTTCCTGAATTTCCGTTTGGGCCACGAGATTGTGGCGGAGTGAAGGCACGCACATTCCAGTGACAGTGCCGGAAGGGAAGGCGGGGCAAGGGACTGTGGATGAACCCTTGGCATGAGTGGTGAAGCTTGAGTCAGCTCCTAGGAGAGGGATGGGTGTTGCGTAGGGTTTGAAGGAGAGTGTCTCCTTGAGTACAGTGTGTGTGGCGCCGCTGTCGAGTGTGAACTCTATGTATTGTGGTGCTTATGATGAGCCGAGGTACTGGGAGGAAGCTTCATTAATCATGGCAGTGCCAGGGAACAACAGGTTGATACGGACATCAGCAGGAGCACTATCACTAGCACTAGCACTAGCCGAAGCGGGGTCCTGGATCTCAACCAGGTTGGCCTTACGCGCACGCATCCAGTTCGGTGGCCTCTTGTCTATGCCGTGGATGGCGTACCATTCGTCGTCCTTCTTCTTGAAGCACGTAGCAAGGGGGTGGTTAGTGCCACCACACACTTGTCCCTTGCGGTTGCCATACATGACGACGTAGGTGCACGGTGGGAAGCGATTGCGCTGGAGGGGCGCCGAGGCAAGGGCCGATGCGACACTGGCTTGAGGCATGGGAGCACGGATGGCGTAAGCCTTGGCCTGAGCCGTGGAGTCTTTCTCGGCTGAGAGGAGTGCGGTGGAGACCTTGGCAAAAGTGAGGACTTCCGCAGTCAGCGTGAGGAGCATCTTCCTTGTGATTTCGTAGGCTGTGGTGAGACCAACGAGAAGAGCTGCTGCAGGGGCCTGTTCGGGGAAGACTATACCCAGCTCCTTGAGTTCGCCATGAATGGTCTGAACCTTGGCAATGTAGTCGGCCATTCCCGAGCAATCTTCAAGGCGGACCTGGAACATGCTGGGGATGAGGATGGCAACTCCGACTGCAGTCTTGTTCATGAACCGATCCTGGAGATACTTCCAGATGGCGTTGGAGGTAGGGTAGTTATGGAACGTGTTGACAAGTTCTGGAGGGGTGGAGGCGATGAAGACGCTGATAATGGCAGCATCGGCCTTCTCCCACTTCCGGTACTTCTCAACAGCTTCCTCATATGCCATTGTGTCAGCCTCACTAGCGGATTCGGTCGGCTCACGAGGGGGAAGGGGCTGTTTTCCCTTGCCACGGTTGAGGAGGACATCCTTGAGGTCCAATCCCTGCACGTCACGACTCAGGAGGTGCTTGTCAACCCCATAGCTCCAAACCTTGAAGTTGGAGCTAGAGCCATCGGCTTCAAGGCGGAGTGGGGTGATGGGGTTGGCCATGGTGGACGAGGTGAATGCCATAATGAAGACCCCTTAATGTCTCGCGCGAAGCGCCGCGCTTA